ATTGAATTTTAACTTGCTCAGCGGACATGTCAGCAATAAAACGTGGCTTTGTTACCATCACAATCAAGTGTTGATAAATACAGTTACATTTCTGTTCAATGGGTTATTGATTGGGATTTTTAAATAAACCTATTTTATTTGCTTATTGTTGTGATTAAATTATAAACAATACAAGAGAAGAGTTCATGGCTTGAACATTTGATAGAGCAGTTAACCTTATTAACGATTTACAGATTACAGATTGTGTTAACGCACATGCGTACGTATATTTTCCATCATTGATCGAAGTTCAACAATAATATCTGATTATACAGTTACTATCAGATCACTATGCGTTGTGATCTCAACCAATTGTTGTACCAAGCTGCCGCCATGTAACGACTAAAGACCCTGAAAGCAAAGACAGGCTTAAAAAATCGTTACTCGCAAAAAATATACGAAATTTTGCTAAAATGTCCAAAAATAAATCACCTAGACTGTGAAAATGGGAGTCTAAACAGCGGCACTACATACTACATCCATGTGAGTACACCTCACCCCACCTCCAGTCATCTATATGTTGACGAGGAAGTGAATATTATAACGAGGAAGTGTGTCAGAATTAGTTATATTTAAACAATTATTAGTATTTAAAATTACAATACCTTTACAATACCTGATAGGGCCAAGAAGATTTTAGTATTCAAAGCACGTAACAATTGACAAAAAATCACAATACGTCGGCGCCGAGTCAGAACAATGTATGACGTGGTCAAGGTAAGAACTAATTGTCATAACACTTCTTCCGCGAAGTTTGTTCCATTTTTCAGAGGGGACACAGGGTGAAAATACAGGGTTAAGCGGAGCAGCGACCTACCGAGCTACTTATTAACTTAAGGTGAGACAGGAATACCACAGTTTCTACCCTACATCTCATAAAAAATCGTGTCGCCCTTTTCAGCAGAACTTGCGGATATCACATATCATATTAAGTTAGAATAATTTCGTTTAATGGACGCGACAATTGAGCCGAATATTTTGAAATTATTTGCTACATATACTATTCTTCATTGGAACTTAAGGCGCATTCATGATATTTCATTATCTTATCAGAATCTCAAGTTCAACCAATCTCTACCTAATCTAGTGACACTCCAGACGATAAAAAACTAAATTCTTCGTCCTCGGATTTGTAATCAGCCGCATTCACATTTCTTTATGACGCTGGGTATCCCGGTGTCGTTCAATCAATATGACTTTGGTCGGAAACTTGTTTGTTGTTAAACAACTTTGTTCCTCCAAACGATTTGCTGTAAACAAAATTTCACGAATTTATGCTGAAAGACTGATGTCAAATCCACTCATATTAAATAAAGAATTGACACTTTCAAAATCTAAATACCCTACTTAACCCACCGAAATTCATGAGTACTGAATGGAAATCAACCGTACTCTGTAGATCAGTATGCTTATGCTGGGTCACCCAGTATTGACATTATTAACCTGAAACAACGTCACTTAAAAAAAACTATTGAATTGTGTCTAAAATTCCAATGCACTACCAAGCTCAATAGCAAAAACGAACTTTTTTGTACACTGCTCCTACTTATACTTCTGACTTACTAACTTGATACGATATTCATGACGAAACAGATGACACGCCTCTTTATATATTGCGTGTGAGATCTAGTGATGATGACAGGTCTGTTCATTTAATATAATAATAAATATTTATTTATGAATACATTCAAATTCAACTCACTTGATATCAGTAAATGTGATTCTCTATAGAAATACATACCACCATTTACGAGCGTCCTAAGTCTGTCAGAAATTTAGCAAAAGTTATTGCAGATTATGGTGGATCATTTCGTGAGAAAACCAAGAAATCTGACTTCCAGCTGTTCAATTATAATTTTATCACTGCTGAAATTATTATTATTATTACATTATGGAAGAATTAACAGACTCATTTTCTTCGAATATCAATATATTGAACCTTGTCAGAAACTTTAAACTTTTGAGATATTGAGGAATGTAAATAAAATATTGTGCAAATTAGAGAACGAAGAGTTGGCACTATTCATTTCATATTAATTCAACTTTTATAAAAGTTGTTATATATTTGAATTATTAGACTAGACTTGGAGTGATATCTGTGGATTGTAGTTAGGAGTTTGCTACTCTTATCCTATAAGGCGTCCGACGTTAATCACTACACTATGAAAATGTCCATGAAAAATGCTCCAATAGACTGGAGAGAAAATTTGACACTAGAATTCTCTTTAGGGAGTACGGAATTTTAGTAGATGTCATTATGCTAGTTATTCATTTTGACCCATGCTGATTGCATTAAACCAGATGACACTCAAATTCAACCCATGTTATGTAAAATGACGGACAGTGTTATCGAGTGTCAATCTAGTATATCAGCTTAGACATAGGAAATTTTCCACAAATGATAAACAGATATGTATGTATACAATGCATAAAAGCCATGTTTATTACTACTATTAGAACCATGGCCATTAGCATTGGTTTCAAATCTCCACTAGTTTCATCATACCATCCATGGACTACTTGTGAACAGTAAATTAGCCATCGAATGTTTGATGCACATCAAACCATGCTCTGGTAGTGTATGTTTGGTATGCTGTTGCAAAGATAGATGTGTTGGTGCAAGCTTCCGGGATCGTTTCTCCCCTTAAGAAAGAGTCTGTAGTGGATATCATTGATTGATTTACCGTTGTTGCCTTTTTCGGGAATACTGCAATTTGTGTAGCAAAAATATACCCGTTCTAT